TATTTCTACCTTTTCTACTCCTCCCGAAAGTTTCGTTTGTTTCCACTTTCAAAATGTGTTTCTCGCTGTAGCGAAACCCTTAAAGTCGCTGAACAAGTTGACCGTCTCAGTGTTTTAGCCAGTCTCCAAAATAAGCCTGTCAAATGGAAATCTTCAAAAACCCGGGTTTTTGCACATTTCAACTCCCCGAACCACTTTGCCTAGTGAAAATTCGCAGGGGTCACGAGTAGACGTGCCACCTTGTTTATGTCATATCTGGAACCGGCCATTGGAGGGCATCATGGCTCATTCTGTGTTGGTTTTTGGAAGGGGCATTATCTTGCCAACACTCCCAATATGTAATTATTATACTAAACCACAATGGGGAGTATTTAATACTAGGAGAGGTGGGGGGTTTAATATTAGGGAGAGAGGATTAGTTGTTGTCAGACGGAAGCAGGAGCAAAACCTCGGCTCACAATGGAATCCAAAATGCTTGACTGTTGAGTGGCTCCCCCTCATGGAGAGTTCAGCAAAAAAAGCTCTAGTGTGACGCAGCATATCCGTCAAATCCTGTACGACAACGAACTGGAGAGACTCGCTGCATGTTGTTTAAAAAGCATTGACCCTGCCAGGAGGTCTTTCCACTTTGCCCGGGACCTCAGCGATAGCTTTGAGAAGCTTCTTATATGGTAGTTTCCCAAAATACGGGGGGACCCCAATATAGACCCCAAAATACTATAGTCCTTATTATTGGGACCCCCAAAATGGTACCCCTAATTTTGGGAAACCCCCATATCGAGACCTGAACAGGCAACTGGCATGAGAGCTATAAGCTCCTTAAGGGTATTTTACACAGGGGATTGTGGAGGGTCATATTAGGTGGCTTATTGAGGGGGATGCTAGGAGTTTAGACCATACCTCATGTGTTTTGGGTCGAGTTCCCGATCATTCTTTTGCGAACAGAGAAGGTTTAAATTTTCAGGTTCTTGACTAGGAGGGCTGGACAGCTACGAGCCTCCTTGCTTTGGGACAGCAGTTGGCTGGTTTTTTGCAATCTATTCTTATATTACCCTATAAACCCAAATTTCCCTAGTCCAGCCTCTGACTCCAGCAGTCCGGGGCCAAGGTGTCAAAGGCTCCTCACTGCATCATCCTACGCATCGTTATCTTCTGGGTGGGTTTACTGTTGGGTTAACCCTAAACCCTAGACCCTTTGGGCAATCCTCTGGATCCCATTTGCAGGTCGTGAAGTCACTGCATGCTTAGGGTGTGGATCGAAAACAGGGACCATCAAGTCTGAGACAGCCCACCGCCCACCAAGCTCTGAATCATGAAGCGGGTTTAGGGTCCAGGGTTTAGGGTCTAGGGTTTAGGGTATAGGGTTTAGGGTTCAGGGTCTAGGGTTAGATCCAAAATCTGAAGCTCTGGGCCCTAAGCAATAAGCCTTTGTGTTCCCAAGCTTCCCCTTGGGCCGCGATGAGTCCTGACAAGGTGCCGTGGACTTTCATGGCGTCCAGGTTGGTTTATCTGAGTAGCACTGTTAATGGAGACAATCTAAAGTCAGCAGGAGGACGAGTGTGTTGTCCTGAAACTTCGGTTTTTGGAGGAAGAAGGGCAACTGAGGTGTCAGGCAAGCTGTCACGTCATGAATGCCGTAGCTCCTTTTTGGGGATGCTTCTGACAATGCCGCATGACATCTGGTGCATCATAGCACCATAATTCCCAGGGCTTGGAGGTGCCGGGCCATGTAGGATTTTGCCCATCAACCGTAGTACTCCTATCATGAGAATGGTTCTGGAACCAACAAGAGATTGCGATATAGTGAAAGCCCGAAATACTAATGTGGTGGAATAGTATATATATATATACCCTGATTCCTATTGTTGATGCTAAAAGACCTGCGCTACCTTGATATACTACAGCGCCATACTTCCCAAGGCTTAGGGTACTTACGGGCATGCAGGATTTCTAGTATCCACCGTGGTAGACAACTGCTTGCTTATTCAGCTTCGACCTGTAAACTCTTATGTGCGGAGCCCATTGTTGGATGCCCCCCAGGGGCCAAACGTTAGGTTCAGCCTCGAATTGGTACTGTGAAGCCTGGATACTTACCAATCTTGTTCTAGTTCTTGAGGCCCGTACACTCTTCAATGAGGGTGGAGGTGGAAGTCAGCTCGTCTTTTTCCACTTTGTGATCTTGATGACATCGTTGAGTCGTTATGCTCCGGCACAGGCAGTCATTGAACGCACATAAGCAAATGGGTGAGGGTTCTCAACGTAATGGTATGCTGTGAGCCCTGTGGGTACAGAAGGGTTACGAGGAAATCATTGGGGATCTGGGCCATTATTGATTTTAGCAAGTTGATTTTTGTTATCGTGAAGCCCACTATGGAAGAAGAATTTTAAGGTTTGCTACCCTAAACCTTGGATACTGCCCCCCACTCATTAAGAGCTGGCTAATATTCAGAGTATAATTTCATCGAGCCCTTATATGACCCCTACTGTAGACTGTTAATGGGTGGGGGCAGGACGCAACCCAAACCCCTCATTTGTATCAAGTGTCCCAGTAAGAAACCAGGGATGGCCCACCCTAAGCCCTAAACCTTGTGGAACCAGTGATACCGTGGATGGAGGAAAACCCTGCACCACCTCATATACCCTATAGCCAATAATTACAGAGACAAGGGGATACTGAGTGGGTGCGAGATTTGGTAGTTTCCCAAACTAAGGGGATTCCAATATAGACCACCAAATACTATAGTCCTTATTATAGCGACCCTGAAAAGGTACTCCTAATTTTGGGAGGCCCGCATTTCTGGCGCACGATTTCCTCCAGCCATGGTAGATCTGTGGAGGCGCCAGCACCCTGCCACCCCGAGTCCCTGCTGGAGCGACTCTACGGCGCGAAGCTGGCTGGCTTAGAAGGAGATATAGGGGTGATGAAAGGGTATTAATATAGGGTCCCTTTAAAGAGATTTGGGGCTTATATGGGGAGGTTGTGGGTATAGGGTTCAGGGCTTCGGGTTTAATTACAGGGGCTTGAATGTGTATGGGGTTTAGGCTTTAGGAGTTGTGGTTGACGGGGTATAGGGTTGTTCGTTTGAAGGACTTCTGAGTTCTTTCGGGAAGCTGAAGATAGCCATGGAGCAAAAGAAGCCCTTCATTGAGCAAAGGCGGAAGTTCTGCAGCGGAATGAAGACACCAGGAGTAATTGGTCTGCCCATAGGCGCTAGAACGCAAGCATGACTAATTAGGACAGAATGACACAGTGAATTGGGAGAGCGCAGTGTCAGATGTGAACTCAGCGTAGTCCTGCCGTGCGGTTGCGGATGGTGAGCCATTTCGCTGCCTGAGACACATGCCAAGTTTCTCTCAGCAATTTCTATAGTGGTAGCTTGCAAGGCTGAAGATTGCTTTAGAGAGATATTCTCCCACTGTTGTTCAGCCGATAGCCTTCAGGTTTCTTTGAAGTGCTGAAAATGACTGGTTTGAGTGGGTCGTGGTCCAGGCGGATTGGCAAAGAACCGTCCGCGTGTGGAGTCGGACGCCAAAAGGGTGAGAGTGGAGAGGTAGGGAGAGTGTTGGAAGTTTAAACCTTGTACAACCCTCATTCGCACTGGAGCTGGCAATTAACGATCGCTCTCGCAACTTTCTCAGGAATCTCCAAGCCTGAAGCAAGTAGCTCGCTTTCCGCATGTGGAAGCCTGTAGCCAGTCCCTATTCCAGTCAGCAGACTTCTACTGAAAAGGAATGCAATGCCACAAGTGCGCAGGTTCGAGAGTGAGGATTTTTTGTTGTACCTCAAACTACCTTATCTTGTGAACTGGTGCGGAGCTGGCCAAATCATGGGAATCTGTCAAAGAAGGGCCCCGCAGCTACTCTCGAAATATGTCGACTCACATGCTGACGACGGAGGCTCCTAGATCAAATTCCGTAGGGGTAATATTGAGGACATTCTCACATGAAGGTGATCATGGGCAGCACCCTATTAGAAGGATGGCAGTGCCAATGTTCATCAGAACGTTTTGGAGGTTCCATGATGTCGTTTTGTGGGACTGTACAGCTTCTACCAACGTGGCAGACAAAGTGTTGATTGCTTCCAGCATGTAGTTGCCCAACATACTGTAATCCTGAATCCTCCGGTTTTGGGAAACCTCCGCATGAGGCCATGATTTCAATCCTTTCCATAGTCTCGCCCACAACCCTGACCGCCGATCTGCCACGCTTTCCTGAGCAACCTACTCTGGTTTCCTATCGGGATAGTATTGGGTTTGGAGGGTTCAAGGAATCATGCTTGCAACAATTTTCCGCAGGGTTGTGGGAATGCTGTTTACAAAAAACCCTAAACCCCTAAACTGCGTTTCCACCATGGCCCAGTATTGGATTATGACACACAGCCTCAAAGAGATCAGGGCGTGGAAGCATCGAGTTCTGATTTGCGTCTTCCTGACGCTACGGCCCGCGTTTTGGCAAAAAACATTGGGGGGGTTAGAAATGGGTTATTTAGGGATTATAGGGTATATACTGGGGCTATATCGGGATAATGGAAAGTAAGATGGAAACTACGTATAACAGGCTATATAGGGATTATAGGTTGTATAGGGTTGCTGGGTCACTTGCCAAACTTACTTCTGTGGGTACTCGAACTAGTAGGCGCCGGTTTCCGAAAGAGGCCATATCTTTGACAAGATCCCATTCGTGCGTGGTCCTCACAGACGCCTGACAGATGACCCTTAAGCCTTAATCCATAGACCTGGAGCCCTAACTCTTCAACTTTAGGGTTTAGGGTTTAGGGTACCTTAACCCTACCCTCTGAACCTCAAGCCATCCCAAACCTTCAACCCTGAACCTTAAACCCTAAATCTGAAGGCTCAAACCCTAAGCCCTTAAGATTAAGTCTTAACCTTAAGCCTCAAACCTTAGAAACCCTGAGCCCTGAACCGGAAACCCTAAGCTCTTGACCTCAAACCCCCAACCCTAAAGCTTAAACCCTATAACCTTAGCCTTCAGCCCTTGACCCTTGAACCCGAAACCAACTGAACCATAAACGCTAAACCTCAGACTCCCCGCTGCCAGGTGTGACGATGTCATTGGAAGCATACTCTGCGATGGTGGGCACCTGAACCATGAAGCCCAACCTCGGGTCCGAATAATCATCAATATGATGTATGGATGTTTTTGGTCTTATATAGGGTTTAGGGTTTAGGATTTCAGGCTTAGGGTTTACATTCTGGGGTTTTGAGTTTAAGGTTCGTGGTTTGGGCTAGGATTTTGATATGTAAAGTTTGGTTTCTTATTTCATTGGATGGGTCATTGCTAAACATAATTGTAGCCGAACCCTCTGGTGCTTTATAGCCCTAATAGCCCTATATGAACTACTGTTAGCCTTATGAAGGCACCCATTAATCTTGGGAGATATCCCTCCATACCCCCAGATAGACTACATAACCCTTGGTACCCCTAGGTCCTAGGTACCCCAGTGGTACCATTTTTTCCTTAGATGTTTGGGGTCTCTTCTCTTTAGAGCTGAACATTAGGGAACCAGGTGCCCTGATTCTTGCGGAACCCACATAACCCCCAATACTCACCTTGGGAGGGTCCAAGGAGCCCCCCAGTGAATATTTGTTTAGATGTTATGACACTAAAGCCCGGTAAGGACTCTGTAGTGAAGGTTTCCAAAAGTACCCAAGAAGGTACCAGTCCAGGACTCCAAGTAGTTTAAAGTAGGTATTAGGAACACAGAGTACAGGTCCCAGTTAAGGTATGTAGTGCTCAAGCATTGAGTGCCCTAAGCAGAGCCTGTCTTTCTGGGGAAGTGGAGGGGCAAAGATGACGGTCGCACGCTTTAGGATTTAGGACTGGGGGTTTTAAGACAAAGCGCTGATGGACTCCCACTTGCGGAGCGGTTCTCGGAGGGAGCTAGTGACATGCTGCAGGGCAGTTGAAGTCTTGCCAAATCCCATACCGGTTGCGAGCAAACAGCAACACATGACAAGCCTCACATGATAGCCATGATGCCAAGACAACTTTCCAACAACCTGATAACCGTGCGTGCTGCCAGAATGAGCAAGGTGGGTTTGAGGGGGAGTTTGAGGCCTTGTACAAGAGTGCAGTGCGAATAGATGTAGTAATACTGTTGATGGAGGAAATCTTGCACCACCCTAAGTCCCTAAAGCCCTAGGAATTAGAGTAGTTTAGAGGCCCTAGGTGGTGCAAGATTTCCTCCTCCATCAAGAGGAAGCTGACAAGAAGCAGCTTCCCTAAACCCTAACCCTAAACCCTAAACCGCGTGTAGCGCCCTGTGCTCCCGTGAGGTCACTGGAGCAGGCTACCGTGCTCCGGTGGCTCTGCATTTGGATCCCTGGGAGTCCTTGAAACTCCTGGAAGGACCCCTGGGTAGGGTTTAGGGTTTAGGGTTCAGGGTTTAGGGGGGGGGGATGGGTAAAGGCTCTACAGGTTTGGGGTACCAGTGCAATAGTACAGAGGTCAGGAAAGTTTACAGTTTGGCATGTGTATGTTTGGTTTATATTGGTTTTAGGTTAATGGGTTGAGGGGTGAAGGTGGGGGGCGGGGGTTCTGATATAACATTTTGTAGTTTCTAGACTATTGTGGTGTGCACGGAAACCTCGCAGTTACAAAATCACTGACCTGCACCCTGCCAAAAGCAGCAGACAGTAGCCCGTAGACCCAAGAGCCACTCTCCCGACCCCAAATTCGTTCCTAACCCCTAACCCTAAACCCTAAACCCAAAACCCTAAAACTACACAAAGACTTCTCAGAATCTGCTTAAACTTGAACCTCTGACCCCTTAACCCGGCGCTCCCCCACACCTCTAGGCCTGCAGCCGGCCTTAACTCCACAACTCAGCAGGCTTACAACGCATGTCGAAGTAAAACAGAAGTCTAAAAGTACCGGATGCCAATCCCCACATCCTGATTCAGTACACATCCCATGCTTCGACTGTAGTTGCAGGAAGCAGGCCTTCTGAAAATGGCGAATTTTGCAGACCCCACACACGGAATCAATCCTGAAACCGTGGACACTCCTGTTCCTTGCCTTCTCGAGGCGTACACAGCCCGCCCATCGCTAACATTTCATAAATGGTACAAAACATGAAACCCCCGAGGCAAGGTTGACAAGGCCCTGCCACGGGAAAGCGTCTTCAGGATTTTCAGGGGTTAGGTTTAGGACAGCATTAAAATCCCAAAGCCCTACCGTGGGTGGAGGAAATCTTGCACCAGTTCGAGCCCCAGAACACTGTCTTTTTCCTAAGGTAAAGGATATATGTCTATGCATGTACGTATAGTGCAAAGTGGTGCAAGATCCCAACGCTCCATGCCCGTAAGACCCCATAGAATCACATGTTCCGTTTTATGTTCCATCTGATTCTCCATCATTGGGGTCTTGCCCCAAATCATACTCAAAGACTTCTTACCCGTATACCCGATATATACCATATACTTCATGTGCCCTATGCTCCCTATAAGCTCTAAACCCTATATAGTAGATTTAGAAACCCATATTCTCTATATGCCCGCCCCTAAGGCTCATAGCGTGAATTCTTGTGACCTAAGTCCGCAACCCTAAACCCCCACACCCCTAAACCCAAAACCCAAAACCCCTAAACCCCTACACCCCTAAACCCTAAACCCAAACCCCAAAACCACTACATCCCCAATCCTAGCACTTGTTTAATTTGGGGGGGGCCCGCCCCCCCCTCCCCGCCAGAACAAGAAATGGAGGGCGCCAGATTAAAAAAAATGATTGGG